AAAGCAGGCAGTCAAGAGGAAGGCCAGGCAACACCAAATGTCTTATTAATTCACTAATTTGTTGTGACTGCAGGGCACGAAAAGCCTGTTTCCTTGCCATCTGAGGCCAAGAGAACCCAGTGCCGTGTTACTTACAGACACACACAAACACACACACATACACAGCTTTTCCTACGCACTATCTGGCCTACTTTCATGTGCGGTGGTGGGAATAAAGACAGGATCACCCTTGATTACCTCCATGAAAGCACCACCAGGGGACAAGCATCTTGCTGGCTACTGACTCGGCTGAGCTAAACTGACAGTAAACTAAAGACTACTATTTCTAAAATCAACAACCAGGGGCAGAAAACCAGGTGAATGAAGGTGCAGTAATCCTAAAACAATATATTGTCTACTTCAGGCTTTCACAACGGTCTTTTAGAGGAGGACAAGTTAATGGAGATATTTTATCAATCTCCGAAAACTGACAAACTGTACACATAACTGTCTCTTAAATGACTTTCTGTTGGAAGCAAGTTTTAAAATGGAGATGTTGTGTCTCTCCAAAGAGTCAATCAGCCACTGCACAAAAACAGAATGAAAATATAACCTCACATAAACATATGATAATGTTCCTGCCATGACGGCACTACATTCAGCACACTAGGCTTGAAAAATACAAATGACACCTTTGGCTTAAAATCTGAAATTTTCACAACAATTTCGGCCAAAACAACAATACTCATTTGATTGTTTATTTATTTTGATGTCTAGATGTACTGCTGAGGATAAGATCTTTAAAGTAAGTATGACCAACACTGGCATTACTATAAACTGGTGTGAGTAGCGCTGGGCAATATGGAAAGTAAAACAAATATCATGACATTTTTGACCAGATACCTTGATATCGATATTGCGGCGATATTGTAGGGTTGACTATTGGTACTTTTACAAAATACTTACACAAAGAGATTTTTGATAAATAATCTTCAGTAATGTGGATATAATGACTACAAGGCAAATAATAGAGGAGCTAAAACAGTGTGCTAATATTAGAAAATTACATCACTTTACTGTGATTCAGCCTTTAAAACCAGGAAGAGACAACACGTAAGATATTATGATTTTCCAAAAGACAATATTTAGTCTCATATCATGATATCAATATAATATTGATATACTGCCCAGCTCTAGTTGTGACTACAAAGTTTGATGTTTTCCTGGTTTAGTCAAATGAATATAGTTGCAAATGGTGAAATGACAAAAAAAATCAATTGAAACCTTGATATTTATTTTTTTTTCAATGACATGCCAGGTGATGCAACATTTGCGTTGGGGTTCTTGTGTATTAGTGGTGTGTGGAGGTGAACGTGTAGCTGAGAGACAGGGGATAACATACTTGCCAAATTTTTGCAGTTTGACTGTGTCCTTCATTGTTGTCAGTAGCAGTCTGTCACTGTGTTTTGGGAATGATGGAAAAGAACAATTCTACAAGTCTGAGAGGAAGCTGAAAACCACAGCAGCTGTGCAGGACCTGATTTTATACAGTTCTGCGTTGTGCTCAGTGGAGCGTGGACGTAAAAATATCAGGTAAGAATGTGCCTATTTCACGAAAAAATAGTGGTACAGGTCTGATCTCATTAAAAAAAATTTTTTTTTTTTATTAAAAAAGGGCTAATACCTTTACAAAACTATTTGGGGGAAAATGTATTAATATTTACATAGAGATTTTTTTAAAGATCCAGTGTGTGTGATTTAGTGGCATTTAGCAGTGAGGTCGCAGTACTGGAACCTCTCCAGTCTTCCAGTCTGAAAGGTCCTGTCTAGAGCCAGTGTTAAGTGTGTCCATTCTGGGCTACTGTTGACACAGCATGGTGGACTACATGGAAAAGGACCGACTCCATATATAAAAATTGCTCATTCTAAAAACACAACGATGCTTATTTTCAGGTGATTATAAACCGTTGAAAACATAGTTATGGGTATCATCTATTGTTTTTGCCAATAGATATTTTTCGCTAAATGGCCTGGCTTTACTACACACACATTTAGCATTATTGCTTAATATCTTTATGCCACTATTTTTTTTGGAAAGATGGTTCAGACCCTCTGTTGAATATAGATATAGCCTTCACCGCAATGAAATTTAATTTATTATGTTTCTAAAACCATGTCTAAATGCACTGAAGACACAGAGAATTAACTTTTAAAACAGAACAGCATACCAGCATCAAGCTAAAGAATTTCACGACAAATTCTTTAAGTTTTGAAATTAAAATAAAAAATTAAAATAGACAGTATTGTAATAAAATGACATAGTAATATAGCCATTGATAACGATGACTGCCATAAAACAAGACAGAACTGACAGATTTCAATGAGAAACAAGCTCTGATGCCTATTCAGAACCAACATTTTAATTTGCGCCACAAAGACTCCCCAGCTGTGTTACAAGCTGGAGTCTAGCTCCCTGAGGTCAATTTGCTTTTTACTGGGACTCTGGTACTTGAGCTGAAGGCCTTGATGGTGAGAGAGCACAGTTAATCGACTTTCTTTCTACCCTGAGCTGTTGTTGTACAAAATTATTATAGATTCTGAAAAAAAAATCCTTGCTGGGGCTCTTTTGTGTTTGGGGTCTATAGGAAAAACAGTACAACAGCAGCTTCTTCTGAAAACATGGCCTTCATACTGAAATGCAATTTCACAAGCTCCTCAACAGCCAACAACCGCCTATTTTGCTGCAACAATGGCTGCCCGCTTCAATACCCAGTTGGCCGACCGGTGTGGAACAATTGGGTGGCAGGAAAGGTGACAGGTAATTTAAAGAGGCAAAGGGGAGAGCTGTAGGTAGCGACTGTCCAGCTCAGTAGATCGTTTCCCACCAGCGTAAACCCCTGGTCGGTACCATGTCCACTAAAGGGCATCTCCACAAATACACAGGCATATAAAACACACACACATTGTTCATCCACAGCCCCCTTTGCATATCTGCTTCATCTGGTATGTATTAGTTTGTCTTCAAAAACTATATATACTGTGAAGAAACTGCATCACTGAAAAAGACCGAGGTGGAATCGAAATGAAGAGTAATGGGGAAGGAATATGTTTGATAAAAGTGAAGGAGATGGAGATCGAAATCAAAAACTGGAAATATATATGTATATTTGTAAATCAGCTCTACAGAGTATCTCATTTAAATGCTTTTGTTAATTTGTTGTGAGGTCCTGTTTTTCCTTAAAACTCTGCATGCCTGGGTGTGGGCCCGTAACACAAACTATAGGCCCTCTCTACAAACACATTTTACTCAAAGAATCTGCAAATTCCTCAGGTATGTAATGTACTTGGCGAATAAAAGTTATTCAGATTTTGTTCCAGGGAGAGTTTGTGCTTTCTGTTGCAAAGAATACAATGTGAGAATTCAAAACTAAAATCATTTGCAGTGGCCAACAAAACTATAATACAGATCTAAATAAAACAGTGTATTTGCATGAGTTCAACATTAATTTCAACATTCCGCGTATGTGTATTTCTGTGTGTGTGTGTGTGTGTGTGTTTCCACTGAGAATTACTGCGCTCCAGCTGTTGGGATCCAGTTGCTCTGACTTGTTGAGGACCCTGGCTCCCACTAGTGCAGCACACAGGCCCAGAGGTGGTGAGACATACAGCGGCTCGACAGAGGAAGCAAGGGGCAGAAACAGATAGCGATGGAAAGACAAAGAACGACAGAGCAGTGGCTGAACCGCACGCAGCTGCTCTTGTTCTTCAGGGAACCCAGCCGGGAAGCATCGCTCAAGCGCCTAATTCCGCTAATGTGTGCAGTCATGAGATGTGCAGGGTGGGGGTGAGGGTGGGGGATTACGACGGCGTCAATCCTGTGACTCTGAAGCTGTGGCTGAGAGACTGATGAGGGACCAGCCTGACTGGGCCTGGGCGGCTGGCCTCTGGCCACTGGGCTAAGCCGAGGTGGCCAGTGAGACCGAAAGTGGTGATGCCCATCACCCTGATCACCCACAGCCTGTTAAGAGGCCTCTCAGCATGCCAGCACAAAGTAGGAGAGGTAGGAACAGAAGGTGTATGAGTGTGAAAGTATGGAAAGGAGCAAGGGGGGGGGTTATATTAATATGGTTGACTGACTGGGCAAGGAGGGCTCAGGTGGCCTGAGCGAGGTGAGAGGACATAAGACTGAGTAAGTCATAAGTAGGCAGCCAGGCTGTCAGATATCAGTATGAACATAACACAACTCAAATTCTCTTCAAACTTGATTTTTTTCATGATTTTACAAGAAAAACCATCAAAGTTAAGTAAGATGCTATGTACATATATGACAGTTACACTGCCCTACAGTGACAAAGATACATTTTAATTTCATGACCATAAGAAGGCATGAAAAAGGCTCCGCAAGCCCTCAACAGCGTGGTAAATCAAAGGAGAAGTAGTCGCAGCCATATGAAATATGCAACACTGCAATATTGCCTAATAATGCACATGTTTGCTCTCTCTAAGCTGAGGATGACATGTTCAATCCAGGGGTTCAGATAACCACTGCCACCAGGGGGAGTAGGTGTACTGCAGTCATTTCCTGATAACTAAGTGAATCTCCGACAGTAAGACATCAGAACCTAATATATGTGACCAGGTAAGTCAGTTCATTTGTATTACAGGTCACTTTGTTCAGCCTAAGACAGCCAGTCAGGTATTTGGTGTTATAGTGTTATTGTTATTTTATTTAGCTTCTGATGTACAGGGCTGCGGATACTAAGACATTAAGCTTGTGAAACCTTGTTTGAGGTTCACAAGTGCAAATACACAGAATTATGTACAATTCTGAAAACAATACAGGTTGTCTGTGTTCAAGGACAATAATTTTCTTCTTTAACAGACAAGGCTGCAAAACTAAAGGAAATCCAACTGAATTGACTTTAGTCGTGCTGAAACTGCAGTGAAGATGTGCGTATGTTACAAAACCTTTTTTTCTTCAGTCAGGGGACAGACCTCCATGAGGTTGCCGAACACCTCACCTGATGTTGCCTTGACAGAGTGCTTTTGTAAAAAGTCCAGGGTCTGAGCCAAAGCCTTCTTGTTGCAGTGAGTGGAGAGCTCCTCGTTACATTCAAAACACCTGTTACAATGAGACAGGTTCACAGACACACACAGAAAAGCTTTAAGTTACTGTGCAATCTAAAAACCCCTCAAGAAATTATTGTTGAATTGAACTATTATTTGAGAACAGAATTACTTGGTTGAAGTAGAAAAACCATTTACACACACACAATCAAATATAATAACAGAGTGAAATCAGGGCTCAGCATTAACCATGGCCTGCTGGCTCATGGCCACAAAAAAGTTACAATCATCCCGTGGTCTAGTGTCACAGTTCCATCTTGGTGTCAGTAATGTCTGAAGGAAAACACTTACTGATTTAGTTAATGACTTTTAAGACATTTTCATTGTGCTACACTATCATTTGAGCATACTGTCCCCATGCAGTAATGTGCAATGAAATCACAAATGTGTACATATACTATACTATTATATGAAACTTTTTCAGCAGAAATCCATTGTGCTTCTCAGCAAACTGATTATGGAAAAAAAATTTTTTTTATCACACTAAGATCTCTCTGGTGATGTCAGTGTTGGCTGAGAGTCATTTATTACAAGATGTACAATAAATTACTGCTGTAATGCAAGTCTTTCTTCATCCTTTCTGGCTGCTCATAGTACCGCTTCTCAAATAGCACGAATGGATGTGCATCCAAAACCCAGCTGCAACTGGTTTGACTGGGTTTTACACGGTGCTGCTGTTAAGTTGTGCTGCTCTGTGTTGTCTGTCCGTCAGAGTTCTGTTTTTGCACTGCAATATTAACAATTATTAATGTGTTTTTCATTGGGTGAGAAAATGGATGTGTCGTGAAAGTGTGTGTGAAAAACTGTCAACCTGCTTTTAGCTCTATGCATCAATAACGGTTAAGCAAGCTTGGTACTTGGCAAAACCTCGGTAAACTTTCCCTTTTCCTGTTATACTTAGACTTACTATATGCTAGGTTTGCCCAATTTGAAAAGGAAAAATAATGAACATGGTTAAAAGATATGGCTGAGGCAACACTTGACACATTACAGGAGTGTCACAATCTTCATGGACACATTACGTTGTATTTAGTCACACCACAAGTTCACCAATGTTTGCAAAACACAAACAAACTAGCTGGTGTATGACATGCATCAAGACGCCAATACCTTTTGTTTTCTAGGTAAACCCACACACTGGCAGCATCTTTATAAGTGTCACACACTGGCAGTGTGTGCAGTCTTGGCTTTTCATTACAGTTAACAATGAATGCAGTTTGAAGTTTCTCACCAGGCCTTCCATGTGCTCAAGCTGATGGTGATGCAGTGAGACTCTGGGTGGAAAGCTTGGTGGTGCTTGACAGCGTGCTGGATCCCTGACTGGTTACAGCCCTGTAAGATGATTCATTTAAAAATGTTTTGTAATCAAGCAACACATACATTCACAGTGCAAATGGCCATGATTAAAGATCATGACTCATTTCCGCCTTAATTAAGCCAAATTTACATGTGCTACAGCTGAAGTTACAAGGGTAGAAAATAATACTTCATATCTGTGAAGCCTTTTAGCAAAAGGCAATACACTGAAAATGTACATATTTATCCTTTTCTCTCTTAAATGGAATTACAAAGGTATTTGTTCTCCAATGAGAACAATAATGGTGTGTCAATTATTCATTTAAACTGTCAGCGTTTTACAGTAACCATTATTTATGTGTTGTTGGAAAAAAGTACATCAAGATCTATCTGTCATGATTTCAGTGTAGACAATTTAGGTTTAATTATTCAAATCAAAGAAATAGAAGACAACATAATCTTAGGTGCTATATAGTGGGAACTGGAGTTGCTTGAGCTTCTTGAAAATGCTTCACCTCTCATCCAAGAGGCTTTTTCAGTTCTAACTGACTGTTGTAGAGACGCAGGCTCTAAACTCTGTGTGGGTGTGCCTGCGGCTCCACACCAGTCAAAACTGAAAAGGCTTCTTGGATGAGAGGTGAAATGTCTTCAAGAAACTCAAGCAAGGCCAGTTGCCTACAATATAGCAGTAAAGATAACCATGACCTTCAGTAACATAAAGGACAACATATGTGCTTGCCCCTTTGTGAATTTTTGGTGCAATAATTCACTAATCAACAATTCATTGCAATGGGGTGCTTGTTATTTACATTGAATGTTTTCATTACTGATTGAACTGTACTTAATCATTTTACATAAACATAAAAGTACATAAATGACCAAGTAAATACACAAAAAAAAAAAAATCCAAATGAACACAACATTGATGACATTGTCACTCTAGGTTACTAATAATAATATGTCTCTTTGTGTATGGGAATTTCCATGTTCAAAAAGAATACTCTAGATGTATTAGTAATATCCAGTTATTGCTCAGTTCTAGTGTGTGCTATGTGTTTCGTTTGCACTGTTTAACACTGAAAAAACAACTAAACAATTCTTACTTGGAAGCCACACTTTAAGCACACCAGGATGTCATACGATGCTGCTGGCTCTCCATCAATCATGGTCCTCTCTTTCAGGCAATCAGAGCACACCAACCACACGCTGGAGAGCACTGATTTCTTCACTGAGCTCAAGTCCACTGCTTTACTCACATGCTGGCAAGTCAACCCTAAATAAAAAACAAAACATGCTTTGATGAGAAATTTACCTTCGGATCCCTTTTCAGGACTTATTCTGAGCCACTATGATTTGAAAGAGAGATAGTGTGCACAGCAACAGATGTAAATTACATAAGGTGGGACATCCCCACAGAAAAGATATCCATTGTAAGATAAATTCCCCATTAAGGATATTCCACTCGTGTGATGTGGATTCATTAGTATGCAGCATAGTGCCCTGATCTAGTGGGTCAAATTTTATCTATAATATTATTTACAAAATATATAAGAAATTACAAAATCTGTATCCGTACAGTTAAAAACAATTCTGTATTTCCAATACAAATCATATTGTGTTATTTTTATTATTATTAATAAGAGGTCACTCAATTAGTAAAGACTTAATCTCATTCACTATAGACTGGACTCTGCTAAAACAAAACTTACAACCCGAACTTTAACAGTCTGGTGCCCTGCACTGCTCCAGTGACTTACCACTGACTTCATCTGACGACTCCTCATCTCGAGGTTTCCTCGGTTTATTAGTCCGCTTAGTCATATCTGCGGCTTTTAAAGAGAAGGGGTCCTTTAGCCGCATCTGGAGCTCTGGATGGGCAGATGGAGGACAAACACTGGAATTACTATATAAAATGAAACTACTTCAACATAGCATAAGCTTACACTAGTCTATAACTCTCATGATTATTTTCTGTATTGTAGCACACAATGCTTTGAAAACCAGGTACAAAGCAATCCGTAAGTATTTGTGCAGTAACATAAATCATTGCCTTTGTACTCTGGTGCAGTGGATCTAAAATGAATGAGTCACTATGATTCATCTTTAAACATTATTTTGAGCACATTTACACTCACACTAGATGAACTAAGGACTGTAGCTCTTTTTCCACATTTCACTTTTAAGACACCCAAATTTGCTGGTCAAATTACCTTATATTTAAATACAGTATTCTTCTTTTCAAATCTACTTGCAAATCTTATGCAACCAATGGCTGTCTTAGGCTTACATCCAGGGTTGGAAATTGAAGCTTTTGTCGACCTGCCAGTGTGGCGGGTGGATTTCAAAATCTACCTGCCAATCAATAGATTACCAAAGTTTTTTTGGCTGGTAAGTGAAACAAATCTATCATATTTTACCAGCATTTGGCAGGTACTAATTTCCAAACCAGTTGGCATCCTACAGACATCAGCAGAATCTTGATATTTTCCCTGATTATATTTGTCCTGTACTGCTGCCAGGATCATCTTCTTGCTTGTGCTTGGGGGCTTTACACCCTCAGTGTAGTCTTTAGCTGGTGAAACACTGCTCAATTGGATTAAGGTCAGGTGAACAATTTTGCCTGTCAAGAATATTCCACTGTTTGGACCTTATATTCCGTGGTAGCTCATAGGTTTAAGATCACTATCCAGCTCCACTGAGGGGTTACAATTGAAATCGTTTCTCCACTGTTCAACCCATTTACATGGGATCCCACTTAAGCATCATAACCCATTCAGGAGTGATGAGCCTAAACAACAGAAAGTGTGTAACTGTCATATACTTGCGGACTGCATAATATTTCACTGACAATAGATACAGCCAAACAAATAAAATATGATACTATAATAGGAGTAACGTTAACTACTCAGGAATGTGCAATAACACGGTTGAGAAGTCTCGACTAGCAAAGACCGTCCAATTTAGGTGAGAATAAGAGGCCTACATGTCGTTTATCAGAGAACCTCAAACAATGAATGGATAACGTTTGCACTATTAGAATTGGCGAATAGCCGTATGAACTCACCTCTTTATTTTAGCTCCTATGTTGACTGTGTTAGCTATCCTGAAGCCAACAGTGAGATGTCAACTCTTCCTGGCCAGCAAACAAGCTAGCTACATCAGACTGTCAGAATAAATAAAACATTAACAGGTGTGTTTTATCCAACAACACACTGCTCTGTTACGGCATTGCGAAGCAAAGTACAACGCACCGACAACAACAGTCCAGTTGTCTCTATAATTCTTCGTCTTTGCCTTAGACTTTGTAATTTTTTTCAAGCTTTCGGTAGCATCAGCTAGCAACCCTAGTCAACATGTGACGCACTACGGCAGCTCGGTTTGGCCTTATGCTGCATTCACGAACAATGGGAAATCTCAAAACGCCACAGGTTCTGAGGCATTCAGGAGTTTTTCTAACGCTTCACGGTATCAAGTTACAGAGATCGGATTATTGTCTTGTTTTATTTACAGAAATGAAAAACTTGAAATGATTGTGAAAATATCGAGGTGTCTATGTGATGTTTTTATTGTATTTCTGTTTCGTGGATGCTGAAATTCAAATTATTATTTCATTTTCAGCAGTAATTTTGATGGTGCGGTTTATGATACCTTTGTTCTACAAACAGATGTGTCGAGATCATACCAGCTGATGTTATCAATACATCTTTAGTGGTCAGGAAAGCTGATGTAGCACGATGCCTTTGAATGCAACATGGAACCACAGGGCATAGCGGGTCAGATGAGGACAGACGTTTGACTGTCAATTTTCCGTTTTTCGCAAGACTATAAATGCAATATATTTACATACATACATGCATTATGTCTGTCATATTCATTAGTATTTTCGGGTTTTGGCTACTTATGGCACATAGCGCGTATTTGTGTTCACAATAAGTTGACCTTTGAAAGATCAGGTGAATGACTTACGTTTGCTCTTTATGAGATGGGAAAGGAGAAAGTATTTTTGTCCCTTTGGTGATCCGTATTTCTGCGCACGCGCAGATCATTGTTCGGTAAGCGCGAGCACTGGCATTGAGAATTCCAATAGTTTCTGCACCTATTAGTGTTGCGTCATTTGTAATTTGGGGTTTGTGTTGAGGAAGTGTTAGCGTAGAGAGTATAATAGGGTGTCATATATGGCTCTCAGACGGTGTTGGGGGTTTGCAGGAGTTCTTCCGCGACTGTTATGGAACAATACCGTCCTGTCTAGAGTTTCCGTCCAGGGAGGACGAAGCTCTGTGTCCAGCCTTGTCAACACCCGCCACGCTTGTAAAAGTGAGCTTTCTGTCCGTGTGAATGTCAGCTGGTTGACTCACTATCATGTTTTGAAAAACTGTTCATATGTGTGGCATGTTGTGTGTTTTGCTTTCAGCTTCAGGGCCGCTGCTCCGCAGGTTCAGTTCAGCGCCACCGAGCACAGATGTGAGCTATGACCAGATGAAGCAGCTCCTGGCTGGGCGGAAAGCAATAGTCATAGATGTCAGAGAGCCCTGGGAGCTCAGGGAGTACGGCGTCATTCCCGGGTCAATTAACGTCCCCTGTAAGTGTTGTTCTTCCTATAATACACTGAATCTTAGCGTTAAGTTAGCAGAGATGTCACGTCATAGCTACTTGTAAGATCACAAGACTACTAATGTAGTACCTTTGTAACTAGTTAAGGTTTTCTGCGGGTCATGGACAAATCTGGGAAAGTCCTAAACCATGTGGCTGTCACTCAAAGCATGCTGTATACATGATCAGATAACCCTAAGGGGTCTGTTGTAGTTGCTTGGTTTACTGTGTCTCTGTTTATAATCGCAGGCCTTCTTTTATTGTGGCACACTTATTTGCTTCAAATTTGCATTTGAAAATTTGTTTAAAGATTACAGTCCCAGCAAACTTTAATAGATTTCAACATGGATGACACCAGCAGACATCTTAAAACTAAACTGATGTAGGAGGACACTCCTCCTAACTTTGCTTGTGGTTAAACATTCCTTAGATAGTCCTGTGTATCTAGGTGAAGTCCTTTGACACTGCTTACAACCAGTTTTGTTTTATGTAACAGCACATCTTTCAAGTACTGCTGGTCATACTTGACCTGTCTGTGCTTCTTTGACTTTGCAGTGGGACAGGTGAACACTGCCCTCCAGCTGGCACCGGAAGAGTTCAATGAAAAGTATGGTGGTAAAATGCCCCAACACACAGATAATGTTGTGTTCACCTGCCTGGCAGGGATCAGGAGCAAGACGGCACTAGACACAGCCACCTCGCTGGGATACAAAGAGTGAGATGTGTTTCCTATCTGTCAAAATCATTGCTTCTCACCTCATCATTAATGCTCACAGATTACTGAACTATTGTAGTGCATGTAAAGTACATGTTAGATATTTCTAACACTTCTCAATAAGTCTGGGAAAAGGCTAGAGTACAAGTACATTTTTTTATGGCTTAATGTTATATCTGACTGTTATATTTCATTATGAGACAGCATTAAGTTTAACCAACCTGAGGTCATTGACCTGTTGTTGCGTAATGCTAGAGAGTCTAATAGTGAAACCATTAAATACTGCGCATGTTTTTACTAGTAAAGTCATACACAGTGGCAGTTTAATTTTTGACACACCTCTGTTTATGCAACATTGCATTCACTTCCCTCCTTTATTGCTCCATTTCAGCGTTCAGCATTACCCAGGTGGATGGCAAGACTGGCTGAAAAATGAACAACAGAACTGATCCAGGGATGATGAAACAGAAGACAATATTAAAAGCTCTTAGCTGAGATCAGACTGGCAACTGAGATTGTGTAACAGGGAGTCTTGTAAAGGGTTTTAAAACAGTTCATTTTTTCTTTTGTTTTAAGAGCCAGTAATTGAAATTGTTTTCCTCATCTGTGAATCCCAAAGACTGAAACCAGAGGGCTCAGCACACATCAACAATCACATCTGCTGCTAAAAAACTTAATAACTACTGCAGTGTTACTTGAAGTTAAATTTATTTCAGCATAGAACTATTTATAAACCCTTTACAACTTCTACAGAGACAAATATGTAACCAGTGACTATTCTAAACCGTACCACAAATAATAATAGAGTTCTAATAGAGCTCAAGTATTTGTTTCCATCCAGACTATCTATGCAAATGACTACTTAACTGTGTATGATTGTGTGTTAAGATGAAGTCGGCTGTTGCATAATATGGACAATTCAACAATTCAAGTAAATGTGTTGTAAATATTGAATAGTTTGTTGCTCATGGATGCAACTGAAGTTGTTGCCAATTTCATTCAATAAAAACAATTTATTAATATTGATATTTTGTTTGTATTTTGGAATTTTTATTTATTTATTTAGAATAAATTATGGAGCATGTCCATCAGGTCTAGTAAAAACAGCATAAGAAGACATGGATTTGAATTATCTGTGATACAGATAGTCATAGAGTGGCTTACTGAGGTGACAGCCCCTGGGACTAAGATGATCTACGGTATTGAAGGACCATGTCTAATATCCACTGAATTTGCCACCCACCCTCCAGGGAACATTAACAGGTCCCTTCGTCATCCATGATAATGAATGTGTTTGTTTTCAACTGAGAAGAATGCCTCTATTAACAGTATGTCGACCACAGCCATGGACTTTGTTCCCTGTTAACTTTCCCTTTTACAGCTCCAGCTGAAAGTCCAAACAGAACACAATAATGATTTTACTGTGACTAGTTAAGATTTCAAAATTATCTAAGTGCCCCAGAAAAGTAAGAAGCTGCTTGTTGAATCATTGTCACTAAATAGGAAGCTGACCTTTAAGTGACTTTCCAGATGCATGAGTAAATAATCTGGCTCAGAAGTGTTAATGCTATTTCTGCTATATGAAACAGTATTCTCCAAGCAGGCATGGTGCACCCCAGATTTATATTTAACTGATAGAGCAGGTCCGTGAGTCTAAAGCATGTAACTAAAGTATACTACCATATCATTTGGCCTGTTTTGACAGTTAACCCTCAAATCAAAAATACATATTTTTCCTTTTACCTTCAGAGCTATTATCAGTCTAGATTGTTTTGGTGTGAGTTGTCAAGTGTTGGAGATACCAGCCATAGAGATGTCTGCCTTCTCTACAATATAGTGGAACTAGATGGCACTCGGCTTTTGGAGGTCAAAGTGCCAAAAAGAAAAAACATCTGAAAACATCAGCAGCAATGTCTCTTTCCAGAAATCATGACCCGGAGACTCAAGATAATCCACAGACCCTGATGTGAGCAGTTTCATGTAGGAACTATTTTCTTTCTACCAATCTACACCCGCCAACAGTATCACTGCGCAGATGCTAGCTCAGCTAGCACCACTTAGCTAGCTAACGTAACAACTCAGCCGAAGAGAACACCATTAATGTTTACTTTTGTCCATGTGTAGATGCACATTTCCTTCTGCGCAGTGATATGATAGGCGGATCTAGTAAGTCTAATTAGAATTCAATTTTTTATTCTCTTCTCAACAAAAGGCAAGCTGCTGAACTGACTGATGCCATGACTAATGTACATCACTGGCTCAACAGTTCACATTTGCACCTCAACATCTCTAAAACTGTTAGTATGTACTTTTCAAAAAAGATGAGTATTGACAGTGACCCTAATATTTTTGTACAAGGTAAAAAGATCGACTTCGTACAAGAATCTAAGTATTTAGGAACCATTCTTGATTCACAACTTTGTTTTAAACAACAGGTGAAAAAGACTGTGAACAGAATGCAATTTAACTTGTCTAACTTTAGATTTATTTCAGTTTTATGCAGTATTGCGTACATAATAGACTTATGTATGCTACTTTTGTGCAGTATTTAGACACACACCTGCAATCGTGTGCTATGGGCATTGTGCAATTCAATCTAGCACTTTACTATTTAGTGCAATTCATTCTAGCATTTTACTATTGGATGCAATTTTGAGCAATGTGCAATATAACAAGTACTTAAACAGACAGACACTTTAGCACTTGGCACTCTTGCACTCTACACTTTAGCACTCGTCACTTTAACTAGCACTCAGGCACTTTATAAATTGATATCTAAAAATTCCTATGGTCTCACAACTCTTGGTCTACTATGTCTCTGTGTATGTTGTTTTGCTTGTCTTACTCTTACTTACTAAGTAATTGTTTATTAATACATATTGTCCCGTTTTTAAAAAATAAATAGGCTAAATAAAATAAAATTCAGCGAAAAAAAAAAGGTAAGGGAAACATAAGATTGAGAAGGTATGGACATGCTTCCTTCCAAAGTTATTTATTGTATTTTCCTAATTTTCCTAATTTAAAGTCAGAATTACATTTTTTCCTCTTA